CCGGCCGTCGCCGCCGCCGCCCGCCTGACCGCCGCCGCCGCCGTCGCCCGCCCGACCGACACCGCAACCGCCCCTCTCGCCGGGGACGACTGGCCGCCCCTGCCGGCCCCAGGCGCGACCCAGAAGGTGGCCTCACCACCGGCGCGCTCCGTGCCACCCGCTCCTAAGCGCACTGCCGAGGACCCAGAAGCCGGCGCCATGTCCTCACCGGCCGCCCCTCAGGCCTCGCCCTCCGTCCCGTCCGACACTGACACTAACGACCCCGCTCCAGGGCCGTCCTCTCTCAAACACTCGAGCGGCTCCACGGAGAGCCTCAGCAGCGGCCAGTCGGAGGCCGACACTGTCTCCCTGCAGCTCGACGACCTGGACGCCACAATCGTCAGCGCTCCCACCCCTTCGCCGCCACACCACGCCACTCCCTCGCTCCGCCGGAGCAGCACAGTTCCACTTAGCCTGGCCGATCTGGATGTACTGGAGACAGCCAGGTCCGGCCCGCTCACTCGGTCCGCTCTAAAGAAACAGTAATCTGTCACAACACACGGAGGAATTCCTGCTCCAGTGGAATACTAACTCTGTAGTATCCCACTGGGCGGAATTCCGTGAATATATAGTTAATAAAAAGCCATTAGTAGCCGCCATCCAAGAGACCCACTTCCTCGACACTGATTCGACTAAATATAATTTTAACCTCTTTGGATATTCTCTTTACTGCAATAACGTAAATGATTCCCCACGCCGAGGCGGTTCGGCTTTGTATGTCTCTAACAACCTTATACATCAACAAGTTAACTTTGACTCTAACCTAAATTACGTTGCAACCACAGTCAAAATTGCACAGCGAGACGTTAATGTAATTTCTCTCTACTTGTCACCTAGTATTAACGTAACGTACCAACAACTGGATCGACTCTTTGGCCAAATCCCCTCCCCTAAATTGATAATAGGTGATTTTAATGCTCACCACACAGCCTGGGGCTGCAACAACATAACACAGCGCGGCACCACACTTTACAACATCATTGACAAACATAATCTCATTTGTCTTAATGACAAATCACCAACATTCCACAGAATCATGAACGGAACAAATCAATACTCGGTAATTGATCTTGTGCTGACCTCTCCAGAAATTAGTTTGTTTTTTACCCCAAAAGTGCAAATCGACCAATACTTTAGTGATCATTATCCTATACATATAACAGTTGAATCCTCTTCAAGGTCAACCATAAATACATATCTCCCGAAATGGAACTTTAACAAAGCGGACTGGACGACATTCCAGGACGACATAGATGAACAACTTGACATTATTAGCTTCAACGACCATACAAACAATAACGTAAATGACAATGATACAGTAAACATGGAAAGTTTCCTTCAGATAGTAGGCGAAGCAGCTGAACGTTCTGTCCCATTGACAAAGCAAAGACAGGGTTATAAACACGCCCCGTGGTGGACGGAAAACTGTCAAAAAGCAGTCGCGAGGCGCCGCAGAGCCCTACGAAAATGTAGGGCCTGCCCCTGTGTTGCTCATGAAATTCAGCTCAGGAACGAAATCAGGAACGCAAAAGAAGTCATCAACGCAGCCAAAAAAGAGTCTTGGGAAAGCTTTTCGAACAAATTCAACCGTTTTACACCCATTACTAAAGTTTGGGAACATCTTAGATGTTTCCGCAACAATAAACCAAAGATATATAAAGTTCCGTCACTGATTATACAGAACACACTCACAACAGACCCACAAGCAGTTGCCACGCAATTTGCAGCCCATTATGCAAACATATCCTCAAACAACAACTACTCAGACACTCTACACAACAACCTCAGCACCACTCTATCAACACTCACGTTCCAATCCGACAACACAGAACATTACAATCACCTATTCACCCTTTATGAACTACAACATGCAATCGTTAAGTGTGGGAATACTTCGGTAGGCCCGGACAAACTGCCCTACATGTTCTTCAGAAAACTAACCCCCTTTGGCCTTGAACACTTTCTCAAGGTCATCAACCAGCTATGGGTTGAAGGCCACTTTCCGGACTCCTGGAGAGAAAGTATAATCATCCCCATTCTCAAAAAAGACAAACATAGCACCGATCCAGCTAGTTACAGACCAATTTCATTGTCGAGCTGTGCCTCTAAAATCGTCGAGAGAATGGTCAACAATCGAATCAGAGTGTACCTAGAATCACAACACAAGCTCTCACAACACCAAAACGGATTTCGACCAGCACGCTCCACAGCTGACAACCTGATACACATCATTGACACGATACAACAGGGGTTTTTCCATGATAAAGTTACAGCTGCACTCTTCCTCGATTTGAAAGCAGCCTTTGACAAAGTACATCACAAAGCTATACTTATAAAAACACATAACATGGGAATACGCGGCCGCATGGCCAATTTCATAAGTAATTTTCTTAATAACCGCACTTTCAAGGTCAGAATAGGCAACACCTACTCAACCCTACATAACCTCGATCACGGCGTCCCTCAGGGAAGTCCTCTCTCCCCGACGCTCTTCCTTATATATATAAATGACATCTTTGACAATATACACAATGTAACACACAACGTACACTATTCCATGTATGCTGACGATTTGGCGGTCTGGACGTCGCACCACAATGTGAATGGGGCATACCAAAAACTTCAAACGGTACTAAACCACGTAAACAAATGGTGTGACAAGTGGGGAATGCAAATTGCTCCCCACAAGTCAGCCTCACTAACCTTTTCCAAGCAACGCAGACACCCCACACCCCCACGCCCGCTCCGTTTGGGCCGGGTTGAGATTCCACAAACAAACACCTTTAAATATCTAGGCATCACACTGGACAGGGGACTCACTTTCACACAACACATAGCAGACATCACAGGAAGGTGCACCCGGCGCCTCAATATCATGAGGTGCATCTCAGGCACGCACTGGGGCGCTGACAGGAAAACACTAACACTTCTATATACATCTCTGATTCGATCCATCTTGGATTATAATGCCTTTCTACTAACTAATATATCCACTACTCTCAGTAACAAGGTCGAGAGTATCCAAAATTCCGCTCTTCGCATTATCTCTGGCGCACTCCGCACTTCGCCCTCGTCGAATCTCCGTGTTGATTCCAACATTCCTGCTCTTGAAAGAAGAAGAGAATACCAGCTTATAAGGTATTACACAAAAGTAATGGCAAGAAAAGATACAATACCATATGCTATACTCAGTAACCTACCAGAAAATAACATAATAACACATAGAGAATACAAGTACCAAACAATAAGAAGACACCTTAAAAACATACTCAGGGACTATAAAATAGAAACTCCAAAAGTCCTAGAAACCCCCCCACTGAGCCCTTACTGGACTAGGCACCCCATTGAAACCCTGTTCTTGTTCGACGACAAGAAAAAAGAAATGAACACTGACGAAATGAAGCAACTTTTCCTGGAATTCCAAAATGAACATAAAAACCATACTTTTATATATACAGACGGTTCCCGGGCGGACAACAAGACCGGAGCCGCCTTCTACACAAAAGGACACATACAATCATTCCGCCTCTCTGATTACCACTCCATCTTCTCGGCTGAGCTCTATGCGATTAACGCAGCGCTCCAACATGTAATCAACAAAACAGATCGACAGCTGGTGATTTGCACTGATTCCAAGGCCGCAGTACAATCAATCGCAGTGGCCCATAATGATTCACACCCAATCACGCGAGACATTAAAAGACAAATTAACCAAATCACCAATCAAAAAAGAGAAGTTAAGGTAATCTGGATACCCGGTCACGTGAACATTGTGGGGAACGAGCGCGCTGACGAAGCGGCCAAAGCCAGCCTCCGCGAACCCCCCAATAACTCCCTCCCCTGCCCGGTATCAGATTACCTTAACGTGATTCACGAGGCCTATAAAAAACATATCCAGTTCGAATGGAACGTAAACCCGCACTTCTATCTTCACCCAATCAAGCCAATCGTTAAGCACTGGTCGACTGCTTATCAAAATACCCGGCTTAAAGAAGTTATTCTAGCCAGGCTTAGAATCGGACATACCAAATTGACACATGAATATATCTTTGATCAAGGCCCCCCTCCAATCTGCCAACGTTGTAATATAAGATACACAATTGAACACTTCTTGATCCACTGTCCCCAATATCAAACTGAGAGGCAACCTATAATCCAATATATCACAAACAACCGACTTGCACTTTCAATTCCCACTCTCCTCGGCGATTCTCACCCGGATCTACTCGACTTGCTTTTCTCTTTCCTGAATAATTCCAGACTAGAACGATCCATATAGCACAGTCTCGCGCTCAGTTCCGTGGTCGGCAAGCGTCGATAGCGGTTCTGGGCGCGGGACTCAATCTGTTTGATCTCTGAAGAATTCGAGACTGGCCATGTCAATTTAGGAGCTCCGAGCTTACGGGCACCAGCCGCCGCCGCGGGGACCACTGTCACGCGGCGGTGGGCTCCTCCCCCCCCCCCCATCTGCTTCGAGAAAGGGGTGTCGGCGCTATGCCGTCCGCAACGACCCGTTATAATGGAATGTTACGACACAGGTCCCCGCACTGAAACGTCAGTTCTCTAATCATACCATTCAGCTTTTGGTGGAGGTTTGTAGGAGCCCCGAGCTTACGGGCACCAGCCGCCGCCGCGGGGACCATTGGCACGCGGCGGTGGGCTCCCCTCCCCGAGTTCATGATTTTCTCTTGGTTTCTCTTGGTTTTTCTCGTGGTTTCATTGTGATTGTCTTTGTTTCAATTGTTCTTGTTGCGCCGTGATTCCTTTACGTTTGCGAGCGCGCGTGTATGCGTCCCTCCGGCGGCGGCGGCGGCAATCGGGACCTGCCCACCGTGGGCAGGTGGTTCTCGACAGGGATCCCTCTTAAAGGTTGAGGCCCACTCGAGACACAAGCTATCTGGCCGGACACCCCGGGCGCGGCCTAGGTGGCTTGCATCCATGGCCCCCGGGAGTGGATGAAGGCGATAGCTCCACAAACACACACACATTAGCGATATAACGTAACGTAATATCAAAGCAAAGGGATTTTTCCTGTGCAATTTGGCAAAAGCGCACAGGTTTTGCCCTCTAAGATAGGCACCAGGTTTTTCTAGTTAGGACTTTCCTGGTGGAACTCACGACACAACAACAGCACACATTACAACACTTCCACATTTCAGCATCAAGATACAGCAGCAAGACATGTAAGTATTCAAAATCCCTCTCGGCACTGCCACTCTGGCACCCTTTCTGGCTTCCCCTTGCACTTGCTCCCACCGGACGTCACATGAGCCGGTCTAACGTAAACTTTGCTCTTGATATTGCCTTGGGCCGGAATAACATAGCCGGCTTTAAAGTAAAGTAAAACGGAAGATCTGGCTAATTGCCAGCTAGTAACTTCCCCCTACCCCGACCAGGGCCTCGGCCTGTCGGGAGAAAAATTCAAAAAAAAAAAAAAAAAAAAAAAAAAGCGAAACTTAACCCACGCAATGGCTCGCACAAAGCAGACAGCACGCAAATCCACGGGCGGTAAGGCACCGCGCAAGCAGTTGGCCACTAAGGCGGCTCGCAAGAGTGCGCCGGCCACTGGCGGCGTCAAGAAGCCACACAGGTACCGGCCCGGCACAGTGGCACTGCGTGAGATCCGCCGCTGTCAGAAAAGCACCGAGCTGCTCATCCGCAAGCTGCCGTTCCAGCGGCTCGTGCGCGAGATTGCCCAGGATTTCAAGACTGACCTGCGCTTCCAGAGCAGTGCCGTTATGGCCCTGCAGGAGGCCAGCGAGGCCTATCTGGTCGGCCTCTTCGAGGACACCAACCTGTGTGCCATCCACGCCAAGCGTGTTACCATCATGCCCAAGGACATTCAGCTGGCGCGTCGCATCCGCGGCGAGCGCGCCTAGGCCGCTTGTGCCGTGCTCCGGCAGGCTAGCAAGCAAGAAACAGGTCCTTCTCAGGACCAGAGAGGTGTTGCGTAGATTGCCTGATCGGATTTTTGCCGCTTTGTGGACTAGGTACAGGACGCTTTGGGGACTGGGGACTACCTAAACCAACCTAGCCTGACCAAACAGAACTTTACCTAACCTAACCTAACCTTAACTAGCCAAACCGAGCCTAACCACACGAACCTAACTTTACCTAACGCAACCCAAACTTGACTAAACGAACTGAACCTAACCTAGCCCACCCTAACCTAACCCAACCCAGCCTTAACTAGCCGAACCTAACCTAACCTAACCCAACCTTACCCAGCCTAAGCTAACCTAACCTAACCTAACCTAACCTAAACTGACCTAACCTAACCTAACCGTCTCCCCAACGGCGACGAGGAAAAAGTTACTCGCAGAAAGTAATCAATTCCTGCGAATTAATAATAATTCATTAATTATTATTAACTAGACGGCCAGGTTTGCGTGATAGCTGTATGCTTTGATACCCTACTTATATCCTACTCATACCACTACCCTGCCCATACCCTACCTTCCCCATATCCGACTCTGCCCATATACCACACCCTGCTCATACCCCACCCTGCCCATACCCTACCCTGCCCATACACTGATCATACCATACTCTCCACATCCTCTACCCTACCCTACTGATACCCTACTCATACTTGACTGAAGCTGTTTACCAAATTTGAGCGCAATCGGCCCAGCCGTTCTCGAGATATAAAAGCGCTCCCTGCACGGGCGCACGCGCTGAGACTCCAGATGACTTGTGCCAGCCACCTTTCTAAATTGTCCCTAACGTTGTACTAAATTTGAGCAAAATCGGCCCAGCCGTTCTTTAGATATAGGACCGGACCCCTCACGTGCGCACGTTCAGTCAGTCCACCTCACCTGTAACACATGACCATGCATCGCCTGGTGAGTGCCCTGCCCACCCACAGTCCAATTTTCAGCACAATCGGCTCAGTGGCGGCCAAGTTATTGCAAGAATAAATTTATTTTATTTGCTGGCGAGCGGTGCCCTGCGCCGGTGTTCGTTGTCAAAGTTCAATGACCTGCCGGCTCTGATGCTTTTCGTTCAGTTTTGGCAGCGAAGAAAATGAGCCTAGAGCACGTGCGCTCCGCTCGGCGCCGGCCGCGGCCCGTCATGCGGCAGAGATTTACGCGCTGACGGCGCACCCCTGGCCCGATCACCCCCAAATTTTAATACAGAGGTCCCCCACGCCCACAAAACCGGCATGCTAAATTTCAAGTCGCTACGCTGCGCCGTTCCGACGCTATTAGACAGTTTAGGCATGACACACGGATGGATGGACGTCGTACAGACATCTTATAAATCATAATATAGATTAGTGATTAATTAATTATCACTAATAGATAATTCATTAATCGCAGATTGCAGGCAAAAGTAAATCAAATATGTTCAGGTTAAGTGATTATGCATTAGATACATAACCACTTAACCTGAACCCTCGCCGGCACAGGCCATTTAACGTCCTTCGACTGCACAAGGAATTGATTGTGAACCCTCGCGTTTGGCCTCTGATCGAGCTAGAGCTTCGCGGAAACACGAGCGTGCTACCCGTCACGAGACGAAGCCGATGATACCCCATTTTAAGGTCCTAGGTCGTCGTTTGATCTTCCAGGTCAACCGATTCCAGTCAATGACCCAAAAGTCGGGAAAATCGGGACCTCTTAAAAAGTCGTGAAGTGTGCCTGCTGTGGGGTTTTTCGGGGTGCTAACCACGAACATCGTGTCAGTTTTTATCACAGATGATGTCTTGAAGCATTTAGACCAGGTCGGGTCGTAGGGGTTGTGACGAGGATTCGTAGTACGTGTCAACCGCCTCTGATAGCTTCATAACATGTTACGAAATTACCAAAACTGCTTCGTAAATGTTCAAATGGTTGCTAAATTCGAATCCAGCTCCAAAAACTGACCTAGAAACATGTAGAACTCGAAAAAGTGAACCGAGTTCACCAAAGGTCATTGACCTGACCTGACCTTCAGGTGACCTTGACATCCACCCTTATGCATGGGAACAACATCAAATCACATGTTTGAACGTTTGAAACCACGAAAAGATTGTAAACGCGCGGCTAATGCGAGCCGACATACGCCGAATCGCGATTCCGGCCAAACATGGTCTCAGAAAGAAGGTCACAGGTCAAAGGTCATTTGGGTCAGGGTCATGATATTTTCAAGGTAGGTGTAAAATTGACCAATGCGAGAGTATGGAAAGTTTCGTCGCGATCGGCCGCTTTTTACGAGGGTTATTTGCAATAATTCTTAGGAGAGGTTGCATCAACATGAAACTGTCAACTATCGAAACCGTGGTTTCAAACGCCCCTGTGCCGGCGAGGTTTTGGATTTAGTTTCGCCCGTAACCTCTCCTAAGGCATTGCCTACGGCACTGCACTGCTTCGCCACCAGAAACATGATGATGTCATTATTCATAGTTGAATGGCATTTGTTGGACAGCATCCTTGTAATATTCGTGCGTTTTGTTTTTCTATCTTGCCCACACTCCATGTCCTATTTCTTATTTATCATTTGATCCTACCCGAGAACGGGAACTGTTTGCACCAATAGCAGAAGTTTTTCGCGCACTTTTTCCACACCGAGGTCACAGCAGCACGACCAAAACACGACTGACAGTCATTACCCGGTCGTCCCTCTCTCACTCTCGTTCTCTCTCCCAGCCACTCCCGGCGGTGTTGCATTACCGCAGGGGGTTCACCCTCTTCCAGGAAGTCGCGAAGTCACCGCAGTGAGGCGGCACAACCCCTCCCATCCCCATGCATTCGACACCGCATGGTCTACCGCCGTCGCGCCGCTCGCTTCCCATGAGCATGGCACGACCGAGGTGTAGGTACTAATCTCGACATTCTCGGCCGTGACTCAGCGGAAACCTCCAGGATTTTTGTAGGACGAGAGAGAAAGAGAGAGAGAGAGAGAGAGAGAGAGAGAGAGAGAGAGAGAGAGGAGAGAGAGAGAGAAGAAAGTAGAGGAACATAGGCAACACAATTTTGTCTCTCTTCATCTTACTTCCTCACCCTCTTTCTTTATGGTGTTGATACTTGATCATTGGAGAGCTCGGATCGTTAGCACACCACTATAGCCACATCCATATCTCACGAATTGAAGCTCCCTTGCAGCGATTCTCTCCCCTCCCACCCCAGTTGACGGCCGGCCCCGAGCAGAGCGGACTCTCTCGCTCTCTCTCTCCATCTCATCTCCCTCTACCTCTCTACCAGCGCTGCGGGTAAGGCCGGAATGTGTGGGCGCCCTCGCACTTGCAGGGGCGTCCTCAGCGGCACACAAGTGGGTATGCACAACAGAAAAAACGCGCTTTCATTTGCTTCTTTTATTAACGTCCTTTTCGTCATTAAGTTTTCCTTGCCAAGTGCAGTCCTTTTTGTTCTTACAATACAAATAGTACAATGCTACAAGCGGCGCATTCAAGGTCCTGTAGGTCTATGCTGCCTCCGCCCCTGCCAGAGCGCTCGGATTCTGATGCCTACTGCCCCTCCCCTCCCCCACTCTCTGCCGGTCCCACGCGGCGCGGCTCCGAGACCCGGGGCCGGCCGTCTGTTGGTGGGCGGGGGAGGGGAAGCACGGAGCGGTGACTCGGCTCCGAGCAGCTATTTAGCTTCAACACGACCACGAACAAGTTTACTAGATTCTGTTTTCAGGCTGCATCATAGAAGTTGGATGGGCGATCTTTTTTCCGTTTATATCTGATATTGCAGGACTCGGACCGGACTGTTGTTGTAAGTAACCAGTTGTAACTCATTGTAACCAGGAACGCAGGCACTCACCAAGCGAAATGCCTCTAGAGAAATGCATTTGACACCGCACGTCGGCCGCCGCTGCTCACTTCCCAGGAGTATATACGGCACGACACAAATGTACTCAACTCGGTATTCTCGGCAGCGACGCAGCCGGAAATTTCCAGGTCTCATTGAGGACGAGGGAGAATAAGAGAGAGAGAGAGGGAGAGAGAGAGAGAGAGGGAGAGAGAGAGAGAGAGAGAGAGAGAGAGAGAGAGAGAGAGAGAGAGAGAGTAGGACAGAGAAGGAAAATACAAAAACGAGAGGAGCAAGGTCGTCTCTCCGAGTGCCGGGTCTGCAGGCTTGCTCCTCGCCGCCCGGCCGACCTAGCGGTCCGTAGGACCATGTGCTCCGGCACGGGCCCCCTCCCCGCCTCACCCCCTCCGACCCAGCCGATCGCCCCCGCTGTCCTCACGTTTGTCCCCGTTCCGCGCCCGGCCCGACCCAGCCGGAATTGGGGATGGGGGACGGGTCTCGGCGCCGGCCGCCGCGCCGTCTCCCTACGGCCGGGCGTCTCGGGCTGTCGGACCGCCAGTGCAGGTGGAGGGGTCGGGGAAATTGAGGTAGAGGAGGGGGGGCGCTGGGGGGGGGGGGGAGGGCGGCTGGCGCAGTCACAGCTGCACACGGCCCGC